GCGGGTGACGTCCGTGATGTGGGTGACGTCCGTGATGCGGGTGACGTCCGTGATGCGGGTGACGTCCGTGGTGCGGGTGACGTCCGTGATACGGGTGACGTCCATGGTGCGGGTGACGTCCGTGGTGCGGGTGACGTCCGTGATGCGGGTGACGTCCGTGATGCGGGTGACGTCTGTGGTGCGGGTGACGTCCGTGATGCGGGTGACGTCCGTGGTGCGGGTGACGTCCGTGATGCGGGTGATGTCCGTGATGCGGGTGACGTCCGTGGTGCAGGTGACGTCCATGATGCAGGTGACGTCCGTGATGCGGGTGATGTCTGTGATGCAGGTGACGTCCGTGGTGCTGGTGACATCCGTGGTGCAGGTGACATCCGTGATGCGGGTGACGTCCATGATGCGGGTGACGTCCGTGGTGCGGGTGACGTCCGTGGTGCGGGTGACGTCCGTGGTGCGGGTGACGTCCGTGGTGCGGGTGACGTCCGTGGTGCGAGTGACGTCCGTGGTGCGGGTGACGTCCGTGATGCGGGTGACGTCCGTGGTGCGGTCGACGTCCATGATGCCCCGGGTGACGTCCGTGATGCGGGTGACGTCTGTAATGCGGGTGACGTCCCTGATGCGGATGACGTCCGTGATGCAGGTGACGTCCGTGGTGCGGGTGACGTCCGTGGTGCGGGTGACGTTTGTGGTGCAGGTGACGTCCGTGATGCAGGTGACGTCCGTGGTGCGGGTGACGTCCGTGGTGCAGATTAGATCCGTGATGCGGGTGACGTCCGTGGTGCGGGTGACGTCCGTGATGCAGGTGACGTCCGTGGTGCCAGTGACGTCCGTGGTGTGGGTGACGTCCGTGGTGCGGGTGACGTCCATGGTGCAGGTGACGTCCGTGATGCGGGTGACGTCCGTGGTGTGGGTGACGTCCGTGATGCCGGTGACGTCCGTGGTGCGGGTGACGTCCGTGGTGCGGGTGATGTCCGTGATGCGGGTGATGTCCGTGGTGCAGGTGACGTCCGTGGTGCCAGTGACGTCCGTGATGCAGGTGACGTCAGTGATGCGGGTAACGTCCGTGGTGCGGGTGACGTCCGTGGTGCGGATGACGTCCGTGATGCTGGTGACGTCCGTGGTGTGGGTGACGTCCGTGGTGCCAGTGACGTCCGTGGTGTGGGTGACGTCCATGGTGCGGGTGACGTCCATGGTGCGGGTGACGTCCATGGTGCAGGTGACGTCCGTAATGTGGGTGACTTCCGTGGTGTGGGTGACATCCGTGATGCCGGTGACGTCCGTGGTGCGGGTGACGTCCGTGGTGCAGGTGACGTCCGTGATGCAGGTGACGTCCGTGGTGCTGGTGACATCCGTGGTGCGGGTGACGTCCGTAATGCGGGTGACGTCCGTGGTGTGGGTGACGTCCGTAATGCGGGTGACGTCCGTGGTGCGAGTGACGTCCGTGATGCGGGTGACGTCCGTGGTGTGGGTGCCGTCCATGATGCGGGTGACCTCCGTGATGCGGGTGCCGTCCGTGGTGCGGGTGCCGTCCGTGATGCGGGTGACGTCCGTGGTGCGGGTGACGTCCGTGGTGTGACATGCTGGGGTGTCATGGATGCGACTGGAAGGGGCCCGGGGGGCCCATGCTGGGGTGATGTGGATACGACTCGAAGGGGCCCAGAGGGTCCATGCTGGGGTGTTGTGGATGCGACTGGAAGGGGCCCGGGGGGCACATGCTGGGGTGTCGCGGATGCGACTGGAAGGGGTCCGGAGGGCCCATGCTGGGGTGTTGTGGATACGACTCGAAGGGGCCCAGAGGGTCCATGCTGGGGTGTCGCGGATGCGACTGGAAGGGGCCCGGGGGGCACATGCTGGGGTGTCGTGCATGCGACTTGAAGGGGCCCGGAGGGCCCATGCTGGGGTGTCATGGATGCGACTGGAAGGGGCCCGGGGGGCACATGCTGGGGTGTTGTGCATGCGACTGGAAGGGGCCCGGAGGGCCCATGCTGGGGTGTCGTGCATGCGACTGGAAGGGGCCCGGAGGGCCCATGCTGGGGTGTCGCGGATGCGACTGGAAGGGGCCCGGGGGGCCCATGCTGGGGTGTCGTGCATACGACTCGAAGGGGCCCAGAGGGCCCATGCTGGGGTGTCGCGGATGCGACTGGAAGGGGCCCGGGGGGCACATGCTTGGGTGTCGTGCATGCGACTTGAAGGGGC